AAGAGCTTATGGAAACTTCCTAGAATCACAAAATATTTATGAAGAATTGGAATGACAAATTTCTTTTTTTTTTAAATATATTTTATTGATTTTTTAAAAATTTATTTTATTGATTTTTAACAGAGAGGAAAGGAGAGAAATAGAGAGCTAGAAACTTCGATGAGAGAGAAACATTGACCAGCTGCCTCCTGCACACCCCCCACCGGGGATGTGCCCACAACCAAGGTACATGCCTTTGACCGGAATTGAACCTGGGACCTTTCAGTCCGCAGACCGACTCTCTACCACTGAGCCAAAGCGGTTTTGGCACAAATTTCACTTTTAAAAAGGAAGTACAAACTTGGCATAGAATCTTGTACTGGGGACACCTCTCACCACTGAAAACTTTATTATAATACAACTGGAAAGCATGACTGTACCACATCTAAACTAAAAAATGGACAGACAGAAAAGGGAACATTCTGAAGAAGAGAACACGGTATTTTTCTTCTGGATAATTATTTTTCTTGAAGAAGGTGGAATAAGTAAAATAAAATGTGGTTGCTCCATTCCATAAAAGATGGTCAGAACTCCATTTACAGAGTTCTTCCATTGAGCCCCAAAGGTTGAAGAATTCTAATTTTCTGGGCCCATACCAAAAGCCCATAATTTTTAGGCTCTAAAATTATTAACATTACCTGTCACTGTTAACTAGTCCTACTGTTGTTTTGTTTAAATAATACCACACTTGTCACAGAAAAGTAAATAATACAAACTAATATGTATTCTTTTAAAATTCCCATTTTATACATTCTGGTGTTTAAGGAAAAACCCTAAGTTTATAATTATCTCTTGTATGTTATAAAATGGTATTTTTGGTCTGTGTCCTGCAATGGTTCTATAAAAATTTGGTCACCCTAGACTTGGGATAGACTCAAAATTTAGAAAATCCATTTCACATGATGGCTGAACATTTAAAAAAAAAAAAAAACTACTTTTATTTTTTTAAAAAATTCTAATGGTTCTCTTATGCCAAAGAATCTTTGTCTTTATTTTGTTTTCAATTGTAGTTTGGAGGACAGTAATTCAACAAAACCAAGTATTTGCTAGTGTGTATATATATATATATATATATATTCAGAGATTGAAAGAGGCCCTGGCCGGATAGATACTTCTGATTTATAACAAGTAACTACTGATTTAGTTCTCAAATATTCTAACAACTTAGGTGTAAAATTTCATTTTATTATTTTAAGCAGCATGCAATATCAATAATTCATATTTTAAAAATCATCATTGTGTTTTGATATTATAATATTGATTCACATGGGCACAGACAATAGGGTGGTGAAGGCCTGGGGTGGACAGCAGGGGGTGGGGCAGGCTGGGAGAGGTCAATGGGGGAAAAAGGGGACACATGTAATACTTTCAACAATAAAGATTTAAAAAATAAAATTGATTCACAAATTTTACTTAGTGCAATCTTATCTAAATTTAAAAATGACCTTCATGTGTGCGTGTTTTTAACACTATCATCACAGTATTGGGGTCCTATTCAAGATGTTTTATAATTACAAATTAAATTGTAAAACATGGGCATCTTTCTATTGAAAACAAGATACATTAAAGAAGTACATTTAAAAAACATTATTGATGTTTGCCTCCAGGAAGGCCAGGAATGTAAATTTGTAGTAAGTCTTGGTATTGGTATAAATATTACATTTAAACTTAATGTTGTGAGTTTTAATATACCTATTTTTTTTTCAATTTTCCAACATTTTTTCAACTACTTTAACGTTGCAGAAAAATTACCATTAAAAAATTAGTAAAAAATTAGTAAAGAGAGTGTGTGTACCAATAAGACATTTTCTCTTTTTCCTCTGGGCACTGGCTATATCCCTAACTTACTTTCCTGGAAAGTCCCAATACTTTGTATATTCATTTTCTAACTAAATGTGTTTTCCTTTCTCTAAATTTGTAGCAGGATTTCTACCCGAAACAATCCCAAGTCTGTAAAAATTACTATAGCATGCTAAGATTAGGAGCCATTAAATCTCTCCATAAATGGATAGTTTATAAAATAAATCTTACTAACATACTATATGAGAAAGAAAAGAATAAAACTCATAGGAACAGTCCAGAAGATGAAAGGTTCAGCACTTGCATATGTAGAGAAATATGTCTCCAGAGACGGTTCAGCAAAGCAGTCAGGGGTAAAGGAATAAAGCTTTTAACTTACTATTGATAGGGCACCAAGTTAGTTCCCAAATCAATAGGCACATCCTTTAGTAGGCACATCCTGATACAAAGGTAACACAAAGATTTCATGCTATCTTTCATGCATATAGTCATACTAATGCTTACTCAATAACAAATTGTGCCCTCTCTCTCTCTTTTATTTTAAAAAAATATTTTATTGATTTTCTACAGAGAGGAAGAGAGATGGATAGAGAGTTAGAAACATCGACAAGAGAAAATCATCGATTAGCTGCCTCTTGCACACCCCCTACTGGGGATGTGCCCGCAACCAAGGTACATGCCCTTGACCAGAATCAAACCCAGGACCTTTCAGTCCACTGAGCCAAACCAGTTTTGGCTCCCTCTCTTTTTTATATTGGTGATATAAAGGGGACTTGGGTGGCAGGGGTTTTTTCTCAACAAAATGAAGGAGTTTCTCAATACTTCTCAACAGAGAAAGAAAGCAATTCCCTGTCCTGCAGATACAGTGTAAAGCTAAGTCTTCAATTGTATTAAACTAGAGGCCCAGTGCATGAAATTTGTACATGAGTAGGATCCCTAGGCCTGGCTGGCGATCAGGGCCAATCTGTGGGATGACCATTGGGGTGATGTCGTGTTTCCACCTTCCCCCCCTCTTGGCACCTGCCTTGGCTGGCATGGGGCCTACAGGCTGGGGACAGCTCCTGCATTGAGCGTGTCTGCCTCCTGGTGGTCAGAGCACATCAGAGTGACCAGTCATTCTGCCAGTCCTGCCTCAGTTCCACCTATTTGCATATTAGGCTTTTATTATGTAGGACTAGTGGCCCAGTGCGCAAAATTTGTGCACATTAAAGGGGAATTAAGAGGAAATATTTTTTTAAAATATATTTTATTGATTTTTTACAGAGAGGAAGGGAGAGAGATAGAGTTAGAAACGTCGATGAGAGAGAAACATCGACCAGCTGCCTCTTGCACACCCCCTACCAGGGATGTGCCCATAACCAAGGCACATGCCCTTGACCGGAATTGAACCCGGGACCTTTCAGTCCACAGAACGACGCTCTATCCACTGAGCCAAACCAATTTCGGCAAGAGGAAATATTTTAATATTGCTATTGCCCTTTCTCTATAATAGAAGTGTCAGAGGTGAAAGAAAATTAGTAAAATGTATATGAAAATCTCCCTCCTGTCAGAGTCTGGAGCTTGCCGTAGGACTGAGAGTCAAGTCTCTGCCCACCATCTGCACATGTAGACTGTGGCATATTAACTAATATTTCTGAATAGCTCATAGGGAATAAACTTATATCTTATGAATTTAACCCAAAATTTCCACTTGTTCATTTTAGATTCTGTTCCATAATACATGTTTGCTTTTGTAATATTAACAATTTAAAGTACTCACTATTAAGGAAAATTTACGTAGAAAGATAGACCATATTTTACAGTATACTGTGACATCCAGTACCCCTTAGCATACTTCAGCAGTACTGAGGTTCAGAAGTAGTCTTACTGATCAGTTCCAGAAGTTCATGAAACATGGCTTCCTAAACTTCTAGAAACACTTATCAAAAGGAGCTTTGTAATGCATTTTTTAAAAACAAAGGAGCCCTAACTGGTTTGGCTCAGTAAATACAGCATCGGCCTGCGGACTGAAAGGTCCCAGGTTCAGTTCCGGTCAAGGGCATGTACCTTGGTTGTGGGCACATCCCCAGTAAGGGGTGTGCAGGAGGCAGCTGATCGTTTTCTAACTCTTCTCTCTCTCTCTCCCTTCATCTCTGTAAAAAGCAATAAAATATATTTTTAAAATTAAAAATCAAAGGGCAGATACTGGGTGTTTGGGGGTATCAAAGAACTCATTATACCATCTTTACAACTTTCCTGCAAACCTATGTCTATTCTAAAATAAAAAAGACTATTTTTAAAAATTCCACCTTTAGAATTGAGAAACCTCAAGGGCCTATGACTTTTCATACTATAACCTGAATGATAGCAGGTCTGAAAACTTTTAATTTTCCCACACCCTATTCTTAAGTTTGAAATGAGCTCATCTTTAAGCTGTTGTAGTTCTTGGGTTCCAGTTTTCCTACATTTTTTAAAAATATATATTTTATTGATTTTTTTTACAGAGAGGAAGGGAAAGGATAGAGAGATAGAAACATTGATGAGAGAGAAACATCAATCAGCCGCCTCCTGCACACTCCCTGCTGGGGATTGCCCGCAACCATGGTACATGCCCTTGACCGGAATTGAACCTAGAACCTTTCAGTCCGCAGGCCAACACTCTATCCACTGAGCCAAACCGGTTTCGGCCAGTTTTCCTACATTTTGACAGCTTTTGCTATTTTACTCTGTTGGAAATAGTGGGGAAAGTAATGGTTGAAGCCTTCCCAAGGTCAACAGTGATGATCAAAAAGGAAGACGTTGGAGAGGGGTAGGTAAAGGGACAATTCACCTCTAGGTCTGCCATGAAGTAGCACCAGTATATACTAGCCCAGTCACTATTCGGCAAATGACTTTAAAAATTGGTAATAACATACCCTAACCTAGTCACTTCTTCACACACAAAAAAAGGGGGGGGGGGGGGGTTGCGTGTGGAAACTCAAGGACAAGCTGTACTGGCTGACAAAGGGTCGTTACTAGAAGAGGGTCCCTGCCCTCTGCTCTCCTACAGGACCTCGCACTCGTTCTGGAAGGCCTGGGCGAGGGCAGGAGAATGTTGGCAACGACACAGCCCCAGGTCCGGAGAGTGAAATTCTCCAGCCGCAGCGCCCAGAGGACCTAACCTGCGTGCCCGCTGCGAGCGAATGAGCGAGGGTCGCGCAAGGACTGGAGGAACTGCGCATGCGCAGAAGGCGGCCCGCGCGGGCCGAGGAGACCGCACGCGCCTGCGCGCTCCGCCCCGGGGGGTTGGGGGGGGGCGTCAGCCTTTTCCCTCCCGGCAGGTGAGAGGCCACCCGGCTGGCCGCTCCCTGGCCCCGCCCCCTGCGCGGCTCACCCGCCAGGCGTTGCTATGGGGATCCAGCGGCCGCGGCCGGCGGCCTGGGACTGCGCCACCTCTGCGGACCAGGCGCCGGCGACAGCGGGAGGTCATGGAGCCCCCGAGAAGCTCGGATGTGGAGGCCCGGAGGCTGAAGGGCTTGGGCCGCTGCCGGCAATTCTTCTGGCTGGGCGTCGCCTTCGACGCAGTGGGCGCGACGGTGCTGTTCGTTGGGATCTTCTCCGACCTCATCTTCTACGACTTGCTCCTCTACCTGGGTTCCATCATCATCTTCCTCAGCCTCCTCTGGTGGGTCTTCTGGTACACGGGCAACATCGAACTGAGCCCCGAAGACACCTGGAAGAGGCCCATCCGCATGGGCACGCTGGACCAGCACTTCTCCTTCACCTTGAACCTCACCAACACGCTGGCGCGGTTCCGACGGGACCACCGCAGGAGACTCTTCCAGAATACCACTAACATTCAGAGTCCGTCCTTCTCCATCCAGGTACCCGACCCGCTAGCAAAAGAGGACCAGGTCCAGGACAAAGGCAGAAGGAAAAGTGTCAGATACAGAGACGAGGCTAATGCCTCAGGCAGAGAGGATCTGGGCCCGGAACCCGAAATGGAAGCTGTAAAACGTTCAGAAAGAGTTGGCCCCCCAGGCCCTGAGGCTGGTCCTCTGGGCCCCGAGGCTAGACGATCATCAGGCCATCTGGTGCATCCCAAGTTCACGCCATCAGAAGTTCTGGACCACCCATTGCCTCCCGACATTGCCTCCTCTAAGAGCCTGACTGTGGTCTCATCATCCTCTGTTAGTCAGCCTCTAACTATTAATTATTCTAAGAGCCTACCTACTTCGTTGACCTCTGAGAGCAATCCTCTAATCACTATTACCTCTGTGAGCCTGCCTGGTGTCCCCTTGCCCTCTTCAGGTCAGCCTCTGGACACTCTGGCCTCTGATATCGAGACTGTAGCTTCCGGGGTCTCACAAAACTACCCCCTGGTGCATGTGGCTGCAGTGAGCCATTTCCCGACCCCAGTAGACTCGGAGAGGGATTTCCAGAGTCATTCTCTAGACACTCAAAATCAGGCTTCCCAAACCCACCTTACACCAGGCACATTTTTTCAGACCCAACCTGTGCACCCATGGGTCACCGTGGCTGACCAGGACTTTCAGTCCCTGTATAATACCCAACCGTCCAGTATGGTTCAAGAGATTGAGCGCAGCCAATTTCCACTTTCCCAGGAGCCATCAGGGGGCCAGGAACTAAGCCAGGAAGTCCCTGACACCATATCCCAGCTCCCGGAGTCTGAGTCGGTGGCTCCAGCTACTGAGGCCCAGAAGTCAATGCCCCATGAGAATGTGCCTGCCCCTACCACCCAAAATGGTGGCCATCTCTAATACAGAAGCAGATGCTCTGGCCTCTGCAAAGTAAGTACCTTGGGAGGAATCTTCACCTACAGTATTTCTTCATCATTTCCAGATCTATGTTCTAGTTGTTTTCTCAACTTCTTCTGTTAAAAAAAAAAAAAAAAAAAAAAAAAAAAAAGGTGGTGGTGGTGGAGGGGTTTTAAAAAATTAAGTTAGTGGAAATGAAGTGGCCTTTTTCCTCAGGGATTAGATTTTTGGAACTTCGGTGCCCTGAGCTATAAGATTTCTCACCTACTCTACCAGATATTAATGTGAATAGTTTCTTTAGTCCTAATTGGAAAAGGGTGGAATTACATTCCCTCGTGGAGCTCTCCGGGGAAAGAGCTCAATGTTTCTGAAACAAGAGGATTTTAGGTGGTACAGGGACACAGCATTAAATAGCAATGAGTTCTTCAGTGGGCAAGTTGCTCTCTTTTCGGTTCTTCCTCCATCTTTGTGATTATGTTAAAGAGAATGTCCTTAGTTTGGGGGTGTTAGTGAGCTCTTACATCTCTATCATTTTGGTAGGGCCCCCAGCTAGGATTTAATACCATTTGTGTTAATAAAGCCATTTCAATGGATAACCTCTATTGTGAAGTATCACTGATTTTTCCATTTAAAATAGTGTTGGTTGCACTCTAGCCCGTTTGGCTCAATGGATAGAGAGTCAACCTGGGGACTGAAGGGTCCCAGGTTCAATTCTGGTCAAGGGCATATACCTTGGTTTCAGGCACATTCCCAGTGGGAGTGTGCAGGAGGCAGCTGATGGATGCTTCTCTCTCATCAATGTTTCTGACTCTCCATTCCTCTTCCTTCCTCTGTAAAAAAAAATCAATAAAAAAATATTTTTTAAATAAAGTAGTGTTGGTTGCTTTTAAAAAAATATGTTTTAATTGATTTTAGAGAGAGGAAGGGAGAGAGAGATAGAAACATCAATGAGAGAGATACATGGATTGGCTGCCACCTGCATGCCCCCTACTGAGGATCAAGCCTGCAAAACCGTGGCATATGCCCTAACCAGGAATCAACCAGGGAACTCTTGGTTCATGAGTCACCACTCAACCACTGAGCCACACTGACCAGGCTGCTTTTTTTCCTTTTAATCCTTATCTGAGGATATGTTTGTGTGGTTGTTTTTTGTTTTGTTTTTTTTAATTTGAGAGAGAGAGAAGGGGAGAGAGAAACATTAATGTGAGAGAGAAATATCCATCAGTAGCCTCCATTTCCACTCTGACTGGTGATCAAACTCACAATCAATTCCTTGTGCCCTGACCAGGAATCAAGCCCAAAACCTTTTGGTGTACAGGACAATGCTTCAACCAACTGGGTGGTTGCTTTTTGAAATACATTTATTTAAGAAAGAAAAAAAACCAACACATGAGTCAACTTAAAGGTAAAAGTTAATTATATAAATGAAAGTTGGAACAATATTGAAGTTTGGACATTTTCTTATTTGTCCTAAATCACATGTGCTTTCTACTAAATCACACACCCTTTGTGCTAACCTGTTTGATGAACTTTATGGTTAAGGCTATTGAAGGTGAATTCTGCTTAACTCTCCATTCCTTTGACAATTAGAAAGGTAGAAAAGGCCATGTGAATGTCAAAATTGGTGGCCCTGTTTTCTGTGAGTTAAGTGCTGTCACAATAGTATACTTTGCTGAGAATCGATTTCCTGGTCTTTCTAATTCTCTTCCATATGTTACCTGCTCTTTGGGGGATAAGAAGTAAGGGTATGAGACAGAGCAATTTGGATATTATGTTATGGTATTTGTTGCTCAAAAATACCAACATATTGCCAAAACCGGTTTGGATCAGTGGATAGAGCGTCAGCCTGCGGACTGAAAGGTCCCAGGTTAGATTCCGGTCAAGAGCATGTACCTTGGTTGTGGGCACATCCCCAGTAGGGAGTGTGCAAGAGGCAGCTGATTGATGATTCTCTCTCATCGATGTTTTTAACTCTCTATCCCTCTCTCTTCTTTGTGAAAAATCAATAAAATATATTTTTTAAAAATACCAACATATTATCCAAAAAGGTGTTCATCTTTATTTCATATTGACTGACTTCATTTCTAACATGGAATACAATTGAATATTAAGTGGAAGCCAAACTAGATTTCCTTACAGTTTTCTTTCATTCTCCTTTAAGAGATTTATATATATATATACTCTCTCTCTATATATAATATGTATGTATATATACATTACAAAGATAAACTATAGGAGCAAAGCATTTTGACTCCTTTAGTTTTGTTCAGTTTGGACACTGGATTGTGTGTGTGTTTTAATATATTTTTATTGATTTCAGAGAGGAAGGGAGAGGAAGAGAGAAATAGAAACATCAATGATGAGAGAGAATCATTGATCATCTGCCTCCTGCACGCCCCTTACTAGGAATTGAGCCCACAACCTGGGCATGTACCCTTGACTGGAATCAAACCTGGGACCCTTCAGTCTGTAGACTGACACTAGCCACTGAGCCAAATCAGCTAGGACTGGACACTGGATTTTAAAATGAAATACATTAAGAGGTTTGTTCGTTTGCTTATTTTTTTTTTTTTAACAGTAAAGAGGTCTTTTTTTTTTTTCTTTTTTCTTTTTTACACTTACCATGCCATGAATTCATGAATTCACAGTGAATGGGTTCCAGCAGCTCAGGCTCCTTTCCATTGGTTCTCACAAAGTATCCTCCTCTGAATGGAGCAGGCTAGTGCTTCAGTTGAACCCAACTATCTTTCTCTTTGATTTCCTTATTTTCCTGGTTATTTTCCTTTACATGTTTAAGGAAGCATTCTCAGCTCTAAGAATGCTTAACATGCTCAGTATGTCTGTTAATTCTCTTGGGAAATATCTTTCCCTTATTTGTTTACAACAATGCCCACTGCATGCTGGGTAACACGGTAGACTTCCAGTTTTGTCATGGTAACGTTTGTAGGGCATTCCTTGTGAGCAGTGCCATTCCCTTAATGTCTATAGTATCACCTTTCTTGTAGATTCTCATGTATGTGGCCAAAGGAACAGCTCCATGTTTTCTAAAAGACCTGGAGAACATATAGCAGGGGCCCCCTGTCTTTCCCTCTGTGTTAGTCATTTTGGCGAATTACTGGAAGATGGTGGTTCTGGCTAAAAGGAAGGCAAGTTTGTTTATTTGTATTTTTAAAAAGAAGACAAAATAAAAGAAAAGAAAAGAAAAGAAAAGAAAAAAAGAAAAACACTAGCAAACCAAAATAATTCCAGAAAGAAAGAATTTAGTATTAGTGAATGAGATAATTAATTTTTTTCTATTCTGTTTTTTTTGGGTAAAATATATTATTGAAATAATTAGGATGCAGAATTTGCCATTAGAAAGCTTATAGACTTGGTTCTATAAATCAAAAGAATAGCTTTAAAGAGGAGAACATTTTAGACAAGAAGAAGGAGTAGGTTGGTGTCTACCTAATAATTCTTAGTGGAAGAATTAGTTTTTGAGAGGAAGAGCCATGCAATGACCTTTATTTTTTAAATATATTTTGATTTTTGATTGATTTCAAAGAAGGAGAGAGAGTTAGAAATATCAATGATGAGAGAGAGAATCATTGTTTGGCTGCCCATCTGCATGTCCCCCATTGGGTATCGAGCCGGCAACCTAAGCATGTGCCCTGACTAGGAATCGAACTGTGATTTCCTGATTTATAGATCAATGCTCAATCACTGAGCCATGCCAGCCAGGTGCAATGAATTAATTCATTGACCATACATATATTATTTATATTTTTATTCTGACCATTTATTTTTTTATTTTTTTAATATATTTTTATTGATTTCATAGAGAGAGAGAGAAACAGCAATGATGAGCGAGAATCATTGATTAGCTGCCTTCTGTACACTCCCTACTGGGGATCGAGCCTGCAAACCGAGCATGTACCCACGACCAGAATTGAACGCTGGACCCTTCATAACACAGGCCGATGCTCTATCCACAGAGCTAAATCAGCTAGGGCAAACATACATTTATTGAATTTCTAGCAAGTGCCAGGCATTATAGTAGGCTCTGGGGATCAGAGCTAAATAAGATACCCCTACTCTCCAAGAGCTCACTATTTATCAAGGAAGAGAGACATAGGAATAACTAACACAGTATAATGTAATAGAAGTCTGGTCAAAGAGCTTTCAGAATACAGGTTTGCAATGAGAGAGAGATATTTTAGTTGGATTACCAAAGTAGGTGTTCATTGGGTAAAGAAATTGGGAAGTACATTTCATGCAAAGGGAAAAGCATCAACAGAAAGTCACAGAGGTATAATAGTCCTTGGCTTGTTGGGGACACCATTTAGGGAAAAAACAGCCTGATAGGCAAGGATGTCTATAGACAAGGATGCCTGAGACTCAGAGGTTGTAGAGAGATAGATAGAGAGAGAGAAAGGGTTGGGAGTGGGGTGGGGTGGGCACCAACTGAGACCAGCATTTGAAGGATTTTAAACAGGATATTTTGTGTTTTTAATTCTACCATGGGCTCTGTGATAAAATAATGACAATAGGCAAGTAATCTATAATAATAAAAATATAATAAACTAATTAGACCGGATAGCTGAATGACCTCCCTGGCGTCATTCTGGACATCCTTCCAGATGAAGCCACAGCAGCGGAAGCTGAGGCAGAGGTGATTAGGGTGATCAGGCAGACAGGCGAGCAGTTAGGGGTGATGAGGCAGGCAGGTGAGTGGTTAGGGGCGATCAGGCAGGCAGGCAGAGACAGGGGCGATCAGGCATACAGACAGAGTGGTTGGGGTGATCAGGCGGGCAAGCAATTAGAATCTAGTGGTCCCGGATTGCAAGAGGGATGTCCGACTGCAAGATCGGGCCAAAACCAGCAGTTGGACATCCCCTAAGGATTCCCAGATTGCAAGAGAGTGCAAGCTGGGCTGAGGATCCCCCCATCCCATGTACAAATTTCATGCATTGGGCCTCTAGTTAGAAAATAGTTGCCAGGATCTCTCCAACTTCTAAGATGAA